CATCGAGTGTTAACACCCTAGCTTACCGTCATGCATCACATAAGATCCCTTTTAGTTGTTAAAATACCATCTTTATTCCAAGAAATCATCCTTTTATTAATCATAATGGTTTGGTATCAAAATATAGGATTCCATAACTCAAAAATCATGTTTTCTAAATAAAAATTGATTAACATATGATAGGAAATTCAATTATTAGCTATTAGCTTCATTTTCTTCAATAGTTAGTGTAGGGAGACAGTCTACTGTCACTTCTGATAATCTACTGTCTGATGTTCAGAATGAGCTGATAATCGATCATCACACTCTAATAATCGATTATCAAACTTCAGAGAGGGCTGATAGTCGATTATCACATTCTGATAATCGACTGTTGCTCAGCTTTGTTACAAAAATCTGCAGAACGATGAATAATCGATTTTCAAGTTGATAATCGTTTATCCATCGTCTTCTACCTCGAGCCAACTTGCGGAAATGTCACTTTTACTCACCAAACATCAATTAAAGTATATAAAAATGTTCTCCAAGGTTCATGGATCATTTTAGCATCATTAATTCATACTTTTAACATCAATTTCATGGTTTATGATTCTTAGTTCTTCAAGTATGTCAAACACAAAACTCAACCAAATGACCATTTATGAACGTAGAAACGACCTATATGAACATTCTAGTCATTAGATATATCTAGTAGCAACCCGATCCGCTGGTCATTGTATTCGGGTCACGCGGGTTGGGGTGTTACATTTTGGTATCGGAGCAAGTGGTTTTAAAACCGGTCTTTGGACCCTTTCAAAAGTAGAACTTCAAAAAACAGGGGATGTTTCAAAAAAAAAGTTCCAAAAAAAATAAAATAAAATGAAAGTATTGATTTGTTTATAAAGTACTCAGCAGGAGCATCCGCATCTCTCGCAACTCCTTTGCCCCATGAGGTAATTCTAAACTTTTATTGTGTGCTTATGTGAAAATTGTTGTCTTGGTTGTTAGTTGATTTGTTTGGTAATCAACCTTTGGAGTATTTAAAAAAAACATATTATAAAAAAAATCATAATTATCCGTGACGACTAATGCGATCATGTTATAAAAAAAGGGGTTAATAACAATATGCGTCACGTGTTGAGCAAACGCGTGGGCGACTTAAAAAAAATTTTGTGGTCAAGTTTAACCAATCAATCTTGAGCTGAATTGCTAAACTTTTAAGTGGAAATTGACTTTTTACAAAAAAAAAAGATGACAAAGTTTAGTTAAAGTTTGAAATGTATGTTGTGTGAAGTTGTTGTCAACTGTCTATGATAAGCCTTTCAAAAATCAAATTGGTAAAGGTTTGAAGATAAGTATCATTGTACAAAAAAAGATTTGCTTAACAAAAAAAAATATTTTGGTATTTGACTTAAACTGTTTACTTTTGATTTAAAAAAAAATGATTGATTGCTGTTTTAACTGCTTAGAGAAAAAAAAATGTAGTGATTTCAAATCAAAACATATGAATCAGAAAAACATTTAATCAAATGTTAAAGTGATCTCTTTTACAAGAAAAGGTACATATATTGTTAGAAAAAAAATTTGAAATGCATTTAGTAATTTCACTCGTTCCCTTAGGAGAATTTCGGGGACGAAATTCCTTTAAGGGGGAGAGAAATGTAACGACCCGAAAACCGGCTTAGTAGTTAGCCGTTATTTTTAATAAAAATAAACATAGTATTTATTTACTCTAAAATATGAATTATTGGTAAAGTTATCCGTTTTAAATGAAAATTGGGTTTTCGGGTAAATCTCGTAAAATGGTGACCAAAGGTATATAGTTTGTTAAATTCGGACTTGCGTGTAAAGCGTGATGACTAAAATAGACATTATAGTTCAATAAGTAAATATAAAGATTTTTATAATAAAATATTAAATTATATTTCCTAATACTACCCGTACACCAAAACCCTTCCCTCCCCTTATATAACACGCGCACACAACACAAAAAGATGGAAAAAGAGAGAAACAAACCTACGGAATACTTTGTGCGACGGTAAAAGAGAAGGAGAGAGCAGCCGCAGACCAGAGTCGGAAGGAAGGAGCTCGACACCGCCGCCGTCGTCCTGTGTCGCCGCTGCCATTGGGATCGCCGGAAACAGCCCGACTAATTGATTCTTGTTTTGTTTAATTCGTCTAATTATCGAGGTCAGAACCTGCACATCTAACGCTAGATTATGTATATAGATTTGAAATTCACGTTCGTAGTTTCGTATGATTGATTACGTGGTTTATTTGTTACAATTCAATTATGATTTAATTATATTATATGTTATTGTTGGAGTTGATTGAACAAGGATGACCAGGTACGTTTTCTTACTTCGAATTTGTGTGATTTGCATGACGGTAAGTAGAAGGTGTTACACCTGACACTAGGCCGCTAATTGAGTTGTATGATTTATTGTCCGGTTAATGATATATTTATTGTTATGATTAAATATAATCCTGTTGGGTTATGGAAGTAAATAAGGAAGTGAGATTGTTGTTGGAATAAGCTTGAATTATAGAGATGTTGTAAATAAATGATTATGCTACCTAGGGGAACTCTAGGACTGCCTTAGTAGGATTATAAGCATAAATGTCAATAGATAGGATCAGCCCTGCGGATCTGATATCTGGCAGCTGCGGGTTAAAACGTACGTACGGGATCCAAGAACTGTCGTTCCGAAGGGGACAGGGGTACCACCCACCCAGCAGAGAACTCCTTCGTTGGTCATCAGGTTGTGTTGTGTCATAAGGTATTAAATAAGGTAGACTTGAGTCATGGCCGTAGGTAGTGACTCTAAACCCGAACATAAGGTTGTAAATAAGGAGGTATGGACTTAGTCTGGTAATTATGTTATGAGCAATGAATAAAGAGGAAATAAGGTAATGATTTGTGACTGGTGAATTTATTTAATGATTGTTATGTGATACTATACTGTTAAACTTGTGTGCATGATATTGTATGGAATTATGAGCTAGTGGGTTCGTCTATGTGCGTAGTCGAACGTTGGATAGATTCCACTCAGCTTCAATGCTGAGCGTGTAGCCCTTTTTCCTATTTTCTACACGTAGGTAATATGAATGATGAATAAGGAAATATCCTGGAGCGCAGCAAGGGCAGAGAGGTGGATGGATGCTGGCTGGAGGAGCTATCTAGTTTAGTTATTGCATTTAAATTAATTATGTTTTTAAGGGCAAGAACCCAAAGTTGTATTTTGATTTAATACTTAAAGGCTTCCGCACCGTTTTGTGAACTCCGATGGATATTTAAATATCGTTTTGAATTAAATGTTTTTAAATTGTTTTGATAATTATTGTGTCTGAATGCTAATCTAGTAGCAACCCGATCCGCTGGTCATTGTATTCGGGTCACGCGGGTTGGGGTGTTACAACAACGTCCACCAAATAAAGGCTGGTGGGTTTATGATCTTGAGTCACATCATTTCTTTCATTCACAGAATATTTCCTATGATGAATCCATCTTCGCGTTTTCCCTTTCTCGTGCCAGTGGTACTCCACTTGAACCATCTCCTTCTCCGGTTCATGCTGATTTCCCATCTTCACCTGCACCTCAACCCACCATCGTGACCTCCTCCCAGCCAGTGACAACACCTGTACTACAGCAACAGTCGCCAGAATCCTCCGGGCAATCCTCCCACTCCAATGACAGCGACGATGGGACTGCTCCGGATAGTTCTTCATCGCCCTCTCCCTTACCTCCTGTCCATTCTAGACGACCCCTTTCTCACTTATCCAATTACTATTGTCACACAACCCAGACGATGACTCCTGTTGCTCCTTCCATTCCCTCTTCCAGTTCTCCAGGTACTCGGTATCCTATCCACAATTTTGTTCATCATGAGAAATTACATGACAGGTATAAAAGATATCTTGCTGATGATTCTTCAAATGAGGTGCCGAAGAATTTTAAGGATGCTATGCAATATGCCAATTGGCGATTGGCTAGGCAATAGGAAATCGCAGCGTTGGAAAAGAATCATACGTGGGAGATTACATATCTTCCTCCCGATCGAAAGGCCTTGGGGTGTTAATGGGTTTATCGCACCAAGTTTCGCTCTGATGGTACAAAAGAACGTGATAAGGCACGTTTGATTGTCTTGGGTAATCACCAAGAGTTTGGTACTGATTATACCGACACGTTTGCTCTTGTGGCCAAAATGGGTACGGTACGTATTCTTTTATCTGTGGCAGTTGCTAAGGGTTGGCTTATTCACTAACTTGATGTGAATAATGCTTTTTAAATGGGGATTTAGATGATGAGATTTATATGCTGTTGCCTCTTAGTTTCTCTATTCCTGGCAAAGTGTGTCGCTTACGTAAATCTCTATATGGTTTGCGTCAGTCTCCTCGGAATTGGTTTCACAAATTGAGTTCTGCTTTGCGTCTTTGGGGATTCAAACAAGCTCATAAGGACCACACTTTGTTTATCCTTCGGAGGGGGAGTGATATTCTGACCGTTTTGGTTTATGTTGTGGTTCTTTCAAACGGTATTTGGATCGTTGTTTTCAGCTGAAAGACTTGGGCCCGGTAAAATATTTTTTGGGTATTGAGTGTGCTCGTTCGTCTTCTAGGATGGTCTTATGCCAACGTAAGTATGCACTGAATATTTTACAAGAGGCCGGTTTACTGGGTTGTAAACCCGCGACCACCCCCCTTTTGCCTTCTCACGGTTTGCATGCATCGGGTGACCCTCCTCTTCATGATCCGACACGGTTCCGGCGTCTTGTTGGACGCTTGATTTATTTGACAATCACTTGCCCGGATATTTGCTATGTTGTTCATGTTTTGTCTCAGTTTATGCAGGCACCCACAGTTGATCATATGAACGCTGCTATGTGCGTTCTCCGTTATCTTAAGGGTCGTCCGGGCCAAGGCATTCTCTTGAGTGCTACAAGTAATCCACAGATCTCCGCATATTGTGATTCTGATTGGGCCAGTTGCCCGATGTCACGCCGATCAGTTAGCGGATATTTTATCCGGAAGACCAAGAAGCAAACAACTGTTGCCTGTTCTTCTACAGGGTGTTTCTCATGAATATTTTAATCAAGAAACCAATGCTCTCATTAACATGGATGATGAGGTGTTAAAAAATTATCTAGTCAACTTGCCAAATATCGTAATTCTGGAAGCCCTACTCTCAAATTATATATTCTCCCCGTCCATTTTTAATGTTTCCAGTTTCACTGGCACACATATTAATAAGTGATAAAAATTTCATTGACTTTCCTATAATACCCCTACACCTTTACAACTTTCTATCCAAGATTTTGACGGCAAGAGGCACAGATTTGACCGCCTTTACCCCGATCGCTGCTTCACTGCTCCCAATCAATGGGTGACATGACAAAATCAAAAGAGGGGGAAAGGAAAAGAAAAGAAAGAAGAAAAGAAGAAGATGATGACGAAGAAGAGAGAAAAAAAGAAAGAAAAAAGAAGATTACGAAGAAGAGAGAAGGAAAGAAAGAAGAAAGAAAAAAAAGAAAGAAGAAGATGAGGAAGAGAAGAAAAGAAAGAAGAAATAAGAAAAGAAAAGAAAGAAGGAGAAGTGAGGACGGGAAAGAAAGAAAAAAGGAGATAAATGCGTATGGACGGGAGAGAAAGGAAAAAGAAAAGATAAGAGTGGGTAATGAGGGTAATTTTGTTTTTTGATGTAAAAAACTTTCTAAAAATAGAAATAGGAAGATTATTATTGGACGGACGAAAAAAGAAAGTGTGAAGATTAAAAATGGAATAGGAACTATATAAAGATTACTGTTAAACAGTTTTTAACTTATAAGATGCTTATAAATCAAATATTCTTTCGTAGAGTTAAAATGAGTTAGATAATATATAAATCATTTGTAAATATTCATAAATGATGAGTAAAAGTTTATTGATACTTTGGTGAAAATGGAGAAATGAAAAAATTAGTTTAAAAATAAGTAGCTAAGACCTACTAATTTTTTCTGACTTATGAACAACTTATAAGTCAGCTTATAAGTATACACAATCATGAGTTAAAAACCGCTTATCTTCAAGTTCCTCTCCGTACTCGAGCATGTTTGGGAATAACTTTAGAGATTAAAATTAGTGTTTTTGGATTGGTTTAAACAAGAGTTATTTACTTAAATAGGATTAAATCATAATTACTTTCTAAATATATGACCATATGTTTTTAGTTCTCAATGTAGAATCATTGGTCATTATCTAATTGAAAAAGAATGAAATGTTAGTATTTACTCCAAATTTCACTTTAAACAAGGCTAAAGTTAAAATCTACCTCTAGCATCCCACCTCCTTCCCATCGACGCCCTTAGCCACCACCTTCACCTGTCTATCGCTGCCGCCTCCTCCCACGGTGTTGGCCTCTCCATCGATCGATTGCTGGTCTCCCGCACGCTCCCATTCCTTTGACGGCTGGCGGAAGACGCTGCAGTCCCAAACCCTAACTTTGCGCCAGATAATTTTTTCGGGGAAGAACCTTACAATGGGCTGTAGAATATAAATTGGGGACTACAGAATACAGATTATAGAACATATTCATTAATTAAAAAAGGCCAACAAATTTGTTTTCTGCCGCACTTTAGTCTCAGCAAGAAATTTACATCGTCATCTTCCGCACCTTTGTCGTCCACCAAGTAAGAATCGAAATCCCCTACTCCCTGCCTAGGCTTATTTTTCTTCTTTTAAACCTAACATTGTTTTTGGAAAATTAATGATACATTTTCCATTTTTTGAGCTTTTGGGTTTTTGATTTTTTTTGGTTTGGGTTTATGATTTTTTGTTGGGGTTTATGAATTCTTTTCACGAATTGGTCATGATTCTTTGTTTGGATTTATGATTTTTTTTCAAAATTGTTTAGACCATTTTATAATAAATTAATGATTTAGAAGAATCTATATACTTTTAGAATCCAATCAAATCCTTATACGATACATAAATTTTGAAAAATCCATAGATTCTAAAAAGCCTTATAGTTATAACCTTTTAAAATCTAATGGATTACATCCATACTTTCCTCGAACTAAGTCTTATTTAAATAATCAAGGGTCAAGAGTCAAGGCAACAATTGTTTCATTATTACTGTTCGTTCGTCAGAGGGCAACAAAAATGTAAGAATCTATGACCTTTCTATTCTTTCATGCAATTTAAGTTTATTTCTGTTTCATCTTCTCTGGTTCACACATTCTTTTTCTTCTTTTTGATGTTCTTGGCAAGGCATCTTAGATTTTGATCAATTTTTCTTATTAATGGAGTTAGATTTTTCCGAGCAGGGTAGCTTTGGAATTGAAACCTAGGGTTCCGGCAAAGGTTGATGGGGTTGCACTTGATCCACAGCCTGATTGGAGCTTTGATGCTTTATTGCTGGAGCTCAATTCAATTGAAAGGAGGGTTGCCGCATCTCCAAGATTTCCAGCATATACCAAAACACATTCTCGGTCTGTATTTTTAGAATGAGTTAATTGTTGCATCTGCATTAACTGGTAGAGACTAGCCATGTGATGCCATGCTTTCTGTTCTTCATAGGCATCTTTCTGCTTCAAAGAACCATGTGGGGCGTGGTTTTGTGATGCAGGTGGAAGATACTGTAAGTGATAGTGAAGATGAGGTTTCTGAACAGTCTGTCACTGCAGGCAGGCACTTTACCCATGGTGAAATTTATGTCAGGTATCATCTACATAATGATTGTATAGGAGCAAGTATTTAATAATGAGATTCATCATACATATAATGATATCAAGGCAAAGTTATGATGAGAAATATAAGGCCTTTACCCAAAAGAACTACAGAGATACACAAGGTACAGCTATGAAATGTATATAATTATTTATACTTGCAATCCTCTTCATGACTTCTGGTGTTTCATCGGAGTTGTGTTTCTCATCTCTTTGGAATTGAAATGATACAATACTAAAATTCAAAGGCACCTGAACAAAGTTTTTTTTTAAAAAAGTACTACTACTATTACTCTAATATTCTAGAACTACTATACTCATTTTTTAATTATTATTTCCTCCCAACTTTTTTTGAATGGTGAATATGAGATTATTTTTCCTTCAGTGATACTGATTTTTTCGAAGATGAGGCAGCTCTTGAAATTGAGCAACATCTAATGGATAAAGTTGGCTGGGTGGAAGGGACTTTATCTGAGCTAATTCATGACCATCATCGTAGCGTTATGGTTGGTATTTATTACTCCCTCCATCCCTTTTTTTCGTGTCCCATTATTTTTTTTCTATACCATATTTTGTGACATTTGTGTGACTCCCATTTGTTCTTACTTTTTAACGACAATGTCAACCACACAATTCTTGTTTTCTGAATTTACCTGCCACAACCCAGCACGGAGGGAGTATATGTATTTTGTTCTTTTTGTTTGGTGAAAGCTTTGATTTTTCAAACAATGAGAAAACGTCTTCTACTCCAAGATCAATTCTATCTTTCTTCCTTTTTTCTGTAATGAAAACAACACCTTCAACCATCAGGTGGTTTGTAGAATACTTTTACTTATCACAAGCTACTCCTTTTATCCTGCAAGTGCATAAACACATTCTCTTCGATTAACAGGAGGAAGTGAGAAACAAAGTATTAGAGTTGGAAACAGATCAGATGGTTGAGCAACATATCTTTTCATCTAAACTTCAATTAATTGAGAAGTATGCTGGAACACTACAGGAAATGGATCGAAGACTTGGCATGCAATATCAGCGCAAAATGTAAAGTTCTATTTTTCATAAATCAAGAACTTTACTTTGAAGTTAATTAAGATTTCAAGCATATTCAGAGTGATGAATATGGGTTCATGAAATGTGTTAGCCTCAAGATTCTACCAAATGGTTCTCACTATCTTCTTACATGAGTATGTGTGTGTGTGTGTGTCTATACACATGTCTCAACACTATTCTTTACTTCTCCTGTTTAGTTCTTGACTTTTATTGTTTTATAATAGTGCAGAAGCACTTGACGATCACTTGATAGCTGTACAAAGGGATCATGAACATAGATCCCAAATAGAAGAAAAGAGAATACGAGATGATGCAGCACATGAAGAGGCCAAAAGGAGAGAAAAGGCTCTTAAGGAAGAGCAAGCTGCACTAGAAAAAAATAGAGCAGAGGCAGTGGTTGGATTTTGTCTCACCCAATATCTTTATTTCCATATAAAAATACAATTTCCAAATGTATTTTTTATATCAATGAAATCCTTACCTCAATATTTGTCTCTTTGCTTCTCTAAAATCTCAAATTAGTTTTTTTTTCAATTTGTTCTAATATTTGCACGACATACATACATGCACACACATTACAGCTCACTTGGTTCCTTATAGCCGCTGTAATGTAATGCTTTGTATCACACGGAGTCATGGAGTAGTTATCAATTTGGGGCTTATAGTTATTTTAATCTTGGCCATTCTACCTTTCAGACAAGAGTGCTCAAAAACTTATGCTACATAACTACGTTTGGTTTGTGGAATTTAAAGGAAAAGAAAAGAAAGATGTTTCTCTCCTTTTCCTCACCAAATGGAAGGAAACTTGTTTTCCCTCTTTTTTTTTAGCTTATTTTCCCCTTTCATTTTATTTTCTTTTCATTTCATCTCCATCCAAACAAGAAAAATTGACAAGAAATATTGTTTTCCATATCATTTTCTTTTCTTTTCCCTTTCAAATTCTTTGAACCAAACATAGTGTTAGAATTTGTAGATCCCGCAGGTGCTGAATGGGCACTACCTGCTCGAGAGGTGGAAATTGAAGCAAGAACGAGAAAGTTTTGCAATAGACTGATTTTAATTACACCATGTGAAAGATTTACTAGTAGAGTTCTCTGCTCATAAGCCACACCTAATATAGCCAAATATAGTCAACACTATCTCACTACTTCACATGGCTTAAACTTTTCAATATTTGTGCTCTTGATATAAATGCAAAAATGAGAACACTGAGATTTATTTCTATTCATGTATTTTTTTATTCATCAGATGAAGGCAGATGCTGAGAGAATGGAAAAGCTAAAAGTTGCAGAGCTGGTGGCTCAGAGAAAAACAGCTGAGGTTGCCCAGAAGAATGACTCTGAGATCAGTATGGATATTGCCAATGATGCTTACAAGGATGCAAACAAGGACTCAAGGAAGGCAGTGGAATTTCAACCAGATGTGCATAATCCATTACAATCAACAGGTGCTTTGAAGTAATTGAGTGATACGGTTTCAATTCTTCTTGGGCTGTTCCACGTTGTGAATAAGAGGGCTTTGAAATCTTAGGATTTCAGTATCCAGCAGATGCCAAATAGGCGCCACAAGCCCACAACAAGTCACATTTGTAATATTAGCATCATGCAGTTGATTAATGTGTTTAGGATAGCAGTAGCTATCTTCTATCTGAGGTTGTAAATGCATTGTGACAGGAGATATTATAAAAGGTGCGAAAAATGCTTTGAATTTAGAGGAGAAAAGATGGATGGCATATAAGGAATTAACTGCAAAGAATGAAGCATTGGGGTTAGGCACCACAAAGGTAAGGATTATCAAATAGGCTTTGTGCTTAGAATTGATAGTGGCAACTCCCTCCATCCCTAAATGAATCACACGGAGGGAGTTACAAGGCAAAATACCAATTTTTTCAAATTACTTTATTTACAAATTGATATAGAAATAAAAAACAACCTATTAGGATCCCACAAAAGCAGAGTCTAGGGATGGTTTAAAAAAAGAAATAAAAAATAAAACTTGCATATCTAAAAACCATGTCAAAACTTTTATAAAACAAGAGGTGACAAGAATATTTTATTTTAGCAAATAATCAATGATAACACACAAATAAACAAAAGTAATCGTGATCTTGGAAATCTGGAAGAGTATATTTTTTGAGAGAAAGATGAATGTGCATCGGCTATGCATTTTTAATCAAATAGGTGGCTCATATAAGGTTCAAATTCTTGAGGATCGCATAAACATCAATGGACCCAAATTGTGGGTTTATGTATGTGTGTATGCACAATATACTCTTTTGTATATTATTCCATGCCAAACTA